CTGCCATGCAGGAAAAGCACCATCAAAGTATCCCTGACAGATGGTCATCCAGTCTCTGTTTAAAAGCTTCCAAGGAAAGAGTTTCCACCACTCTCTGAGACAGAGAGTTCCACTGCTGAACAGCTCTTACAATTAGGAAGTTATTTCTAATGTTCAGGTGGAATCTCCTCTCCTGTGGTTTGAACTCATTGCTCCAAGTCCTAGTTTCCATAGCAGCAGAAAACATTCCTGCTCCCTCTTCCTTATGACATCCTTATAGCATCCCTATCCCACACAAATGTTGAGAGTTGACTATAAAATCTTCATATTTTAAATTATTCATGTTCCTTCCTCCAATTTTCATGCCTCCTTTCTCTGAATCTAATCATGTATGATATATTTAGCATACAAATTAATCTGAGTAATGTCAGGATTTGTAAGTTACTCAGCATTTCTTTAACTGCTAACAGGATCACTGTCTCAGGCTTAACCACAGGTGTCACTGTAATTGTGGTGTGGTAGCTGTGTACTCATACCATTGCATATACGTTGTAGTAACCCTGTGTTAGTTTGATGAGGCTATATGTTGTTTTACTCCATTGAGTTCTCCCCGATTCATATTCCTCACATTTCATGTTCTTGTAATATGTGTTGGATACTTCCAGACCTTCCTACCTTTTACCTTGGTGTGTGTCAACATAGTTGAACATCCTTTCAGCTCATGTCTAGTCTCATCTTAAGCCACAGTGCTCCTTGGTGCCTTCTGCCCTGGAAATATTATCATCTACTGTTAGTCTCACAGGCGCATCCTGTCTTACTGCCCTAGAAAAGTAGTGTCATGGTGTTATTGGCATACAAATAACTGGGAGCTATGCGCCTGTTGTGAAACTGGCCATAAAGTGGCAGCCATAATGTTCTAATCATAGGGCTTGTGAACACTGCTTGCCTTCAGGACTTTTATTGCTGTTGCACCCTAAAGCAAAAGGAGAAGCTGGTCTTAAAAACAAGGGGGGAAAGTTTGGTGGATGAAGTGGGAAGAAGGAAGAGAGTTTGGTGGATGAAGAAGGAAGAGGGAAGAGGAAAAGTTTGTTGTACATAGTATAAATACTGTGTTAGTATTTGTACTATTGCTGAAGAAAGAAAAGCCTTCCAATTTGAAAGAACAGCTCTGTATCTGCGTTGTTCTTGTTCCTGAGGAGAGCACTTCACAGCAAGAAGGTATTTGGCTCCCTAACAAGAGTCCCTTCCACTGTAAAGGTAATAGTTTCCCCCTGACATTAAGGCCAGTTGTGTCCGACTCTGAGGGTTGGTGCTCATCTCCATTTCTAAAAATAGCCGGCGTTGTCCATAGACACCGCCCATCTTTACAAGTGAAAAACAGGTGGGATAGGAACCACCAAACATTTCCCATCCTGTTTCATTGCCCAACCATCAGCACTCTCTTGTATTGTCTGGGCTTTGATGCAGAACCATAGGATCCCATGGAAAGCAATGGTTTTAAACTGGATCACTGTCTCTTGTATCCTATGGGGTTTGGTGATGAACAATAGGATCCCATAGAAAGAAGTGTTTTTAAATTGGTCTCAGTCTCCTTTAATGTTAGAGGCTTTGGGCAGGCCAAGGGATCTCTTTCTTTTTGGATATTGTTGTTTCTCCTGATTTAAGAAAAAAAATACTGATCTTGTAACGAATGAAAAAGGTGAATGTATTGCCAGATTTTAAGTTTCCATGTGTGAATGTGATGGGGAGGCACAATGTGAAACTGGACTGCTTTTTTTCATATCTGGAGCGACTTGAGAAACTGCGAATCGCTTCTGGTGTGAGAGCATTGGCCGTCTGCAAGGATGTTGCCCATGGGATGTGTTCCCATCCCATGGGAGGCTTCTCTCATGTCCCTGCATGGAGACAAATGGGAGCTCACCCCGTTGCAGATTTGAACCTCCGATCTTCAGGTCAGCAGTCCTGCCCACACAAAGATTTAACCCAGTGTTTCTCAACCTGGGGGTTGGGACCCCTGGGTGGGTCGCGAGGGGTCGCCAAAGACTATCAGAAAACATATATTTCTGATGGTCTTAGGAACCCCTTTGCATGAGAAGGCTGAAGATCTCTCCATCTCTTCCTTTTCGGAAACAAACGGTGAATCCTCCCACCAAAAGATCTCCTCCTGCTGTGATGGCCGGCCTCTCAGCCAAGAGAAGGGCTGCTTCTGAGACTTTAAGCAAGGAGGGGAGATCAGGCATGCTCGCAGCACGGCAGCATGATATGCATGTGCGGGGCAAGGGAGAGTGTGTGAAGCTGGAGGGAGGCCTGCGCCAGTGAGTCCCTTCAAGCCATGGAAAGTTTGGCCCAATTCTTGTTGGTGGGGTTCAGAATGCTTTTTGATTGTAGGCGAACTATAAATCCCAGCAACTGCAACTCCCAAATGTCAAAGTGTATTTTTCTCAAACTCCACCAGCATTCATATTTGGGAACTTCGAGTATTCGTGCCAAGTTTGGTCCAGATCTATTGTTGTTAGAGTCCACAGTGCTCTCTGGGTGTAAATGAACTACAACTCCAAAACCCAAGGTCAGTGCCCATCAAACCCTTCCAGTATTGTCAGTTGGTTCTGTGTGCCAAGGCTGGTTCAGTTCCATTGTTGTGGAGTTCAGAATGCTCTTTGATTGTAGGTGAACTATAAATCCCAGCAACTACAACTCCCAAATGACAACACAATCCCCCAACCCCACCAGAATTCAAATTTGGCCGTAATGGGTATTTGTGCCAAATTTGGTCAAGTGAATGAAAATATATCCTGCATATCAGATATTAGGAGACCCCGTTGGCACAGTGGGTTAAAGCACTGAGCTGCTGAGCTTGTTGACTGAAAGGTCGCAGGTTCGATTCCGGAGAGCGACGTGAGCTTCCACTGTCAGTCCCAGCTTCTGCCAACCTAGCAGTTCAAAAACATGCAAATGTGAGTAGATCAATAGGTACTGCTCCGGCAGGAAGGTAACAGCACTCCATGCATTCATGCCGGCCACATGACCTTGGAGGTGTCTATGGACAACGCTGGCTCTTCGGCTTAGAAATGGATATGAGCAACACTACCCAGAGTCAGACACAACTTTACTTAATGTCAGGGGGAAACCTTACCTTACCTTATATCAGATATTTACATGATGATGCATAACAGTAGCAAAATTACAGTTGTGAAGTAGCAATGAAAATAATTGTATGGTTGGGGGTCAGCACAACATGAGGAACTGGTTTAAGGGGTCGCAGCATTAGGAAGTTTGAGAAACACTGGTTTAACCCATTGCACCACCGCCAACGGAGGCTCCCTGACGGGACTGATGACACACACAGACACACACACACACACACAAAACTTTATTTATATACCACTCCATCTCCCCGAGGGGACTCAGAGTGGTTCCCAGGTAACATCACAAAACATACAAAGTAAAAACAACATAACCATAAGATTAACAAAATATAGCATAAACATTGTCACCATAACACACATATATTAAAAGTAATCCTGCTTGTTCAAGACAATTAAAAAATTTAAAAGGCCGGGCCAAGATTTGTGCAAGCCCAAAAATTCTAGGAGGCCCGGAAATTAAGTGCAATGCTATGGCAAGCAATAATAATATTAGGTGCAGGTGTGTGGCTGTTCATTCCGGGGCCAATTAGAGGAAATTATCTGGGTAATTGGTAGGAAGAATAAAGCCGTATTCGACAATGTGTGGGGCTGAGTTAGAACTTATCATTTTCAAAGGCTTGTTGAAACCACCAGGTCTTCAAGCTCTTACGAAAGGAGGGGAGGGATGGGGGCTGTCTTATTTCCCTTGCAAGGGCGTTCCAGAAGTGGGTGGCCACCACTGAGAAGGCCCTCTCTCTCGTCCCCACCAACCGCGCTTGAGACAGTAGTGGGACCAAGAGGAGGGCCTCTCCAGAAGATCTTAGAGCTCGTGCCGGTTCACAGAAGGAAATGCGATCGCAGAGATAGGCGGTGCCCGAACCGTTTAGGGCTTTATAGGTCATGACCTGCACCTTGAATTTGGCTCGGCAACTTATCAGCAGCCAATGAAGCTGTTTTAATAGGGGCGTGGTATGTTCCCTATAGTTTGCTTGTTATTGTTTATTCGTTCAGTTGCTTCCGACTCTTTGTAACCACGTGGACCAGACCGCGCGAGAGCTCCCTGTCAGCTGTCACCACCCCCAGCTCCTTCAGAGTCAATCCAGTCACTTCAAGGACACCATCCATCCACCTTGTACTTAGTTGGCCACTCTTCCCTTTTCCTTCCACTTTCCCCATCATCATTATCTTCTCTAAGCTTTCCTGTCTCCTCATCATGTGGCCAAAATACTTCATCTTGGCCTCTAATATCCTTCCCTCCAAGGAGCAGTCGGGCTTTACTTCCTGCATTATGGATTGGCTTGATCTTCTTCTGGTCCAGGGCACTCTCAGAACTTCCCTCCAGCCCCACAGTTCCAAAGCCTCTGTCTTCCTTCACTCAGCCTTCCTTATGGCTGACGTCATAAGAGGGGCGATTTCTCTACTCTTAAAGGGACAGTCAACCATGCTTCCCTATCTGAATGCGATGAGGTGGTAGAAATCCACCTGACCCAGAGTTTGGAAGAAGGAAAACCACAAAGAATCCAAAAGGACACTTCTCACAACCTCTGAGCCAGTAAAGTAGGAGGTATGTTGAATGGCAGAGTCTGTAGTTCCCAAAAGTACATTTCCCAGTGCATCAGGGGAAAGATTGAGCCCGGAAATGTGAAGGAAACTTCAAAATTTTGGTTTCCAATAAGATAAGTGGTTGTTATCCTCCAGGAGATAGGCGGGGAATAAACACAGTACACACATAAATTGGGCAACTCCCAATCAGAGGCCGCGCCCCCTTCGACCAATAGGCATCGAGGGGCGGGGCGGATTCGAGGCCCCTTTGGGAAATCCCCTAGCGAAAGGGGGTGGGCGGGGCCTCCCCAAATCCGAGTCCGCCTCCGCCTCTGTTGTGCCGCGGGTGGGCGCGAGGGGGAAGGGGCGTGGCCAGGCGAGGCGAGGGGGAGTCCAAAGGCCGTTATAGGGGAGCAGAAGGACTGAAAGAGGCCTTTTTCGACCGAGTGGAGCTGCAAAGTGAGTGGTTCCTCGGGAAGGGGGAAGCGAAGAAGGGGAAGGGGCTACAACAGGCTTCCTCTAGCAAGAAGAAGCGGGTAAACCGGATCCTTTGGAAGGGGGAGGGGGATCCTTGCACTGCTTGACTTTTTAACCCCCCCCCCCTCCTCCCCCAAAATGGTTCATTCTGTTCCTTTCCCCTCATAGTTTGGCCACCAAAGTCAGTTCATTCCCTGCTGCCTCCCTTGACTTTGGCCTGTGGGGTCTTCTTCTGCCTGTCTATTTTCCCCTTCAAGCAAACCTCTGCCTTTCCTAAGAACTGTGGGCAAGAGGAAATGTTGGCCTTGTGGAAGCAGAAGAGAAAGTCCTTCCTGAGTGCCAGGCCAGAATGGGTTAAAAAGCAACTGTTTTTGCTCAAGTTACATGCCTCTTTCCCCTGCTTGCCTGCCTGCCTCAGGGAGCTCACTTATCTCGCATTCCTGCAGTTGACAGTTGGCTGAGGGTCAAGTTTTGCAATTTTTTTCCAGACTGCTAGGCACTCGAGGGGCCTGTTGCCTTTGGTCTGGCAAAAGGAAACATGTCTTCGTAGATCTTGCAAAGATCTAGAGCAGGTTGTCTTCGACTTTTTTCACTCATAACCCCTTTCCGCCCGAAAAATGTGAATGCAACCCCAGGCATATCACTATAGAGACGTCGATGAATGGTTATTATAGTAATTGTGTATTAATTGTGTATTAGATTAGGTTATTAACTGTTTTATATTGGTGTTGAATTTTGCTGTGTCCTGTGTCTTGTGAACCGCTGTGAGTCGCCCTCGGGCTGAGAACAGCGGTATAGAAGCAAAGTAAATAAATAAATAAATAAATATAGAAAGTAGGTGTCAAACTCAAACATTTCCTGAAATCAAACCAGCATTTGCAAGACTTTTCTAAATAAGCAGGCATCTCTTTTTACATAGTATGACTGAAGTGTATTGTCGAAGGCTTTCATGGCTGGAATCACTGGGTTGTTGTAGGTTTTTTTGGGCTATATGGCCATGTTCTAAAAGCATTCTCTCCTGACATTTCGCCTGCATCTATGGCAAGCATCCTCAGAGGTTGTGAGGACTTCACAACCCCTGAGGATGCTTGTCATAGATGCAGGCGAAACGTCAGGAGAGAATGCTTCTGGAACATGGCCATTTAGCCCGAAAAACCTACAACAACCCTATGGCCGAAGTGTTTTCTATGCTTTTAAACATTGCATGTTGTTGCCAACAAGTTTTTGTAAATATATAGGTGGCGTTCAGAAACGTTTTACTGTTGCCCATTTTCCCCCCAGCCCAGGATTGAGCTAAGCACTACAGCATTAGTTCCCAAATGATGGTCTGTGGACCACCAGTCGTCCACAAGAACTAAAATATGGTCTGCGGCCTCACCGTTACTATACTGTTGGAATGAGATCAACTGGTCTTATTAAATACTAGCCATCCCCTGCCATGCGTTGCTGTGGCACAGCATATATGTGTTTTGTGTGTGTGTGTGTGTATATATTTGTGTATATGTGTGTTTACACACACACACACACACACACATGGTTTTGTGCATGCGTTGTAATGTAATTTTGTTTCTTGGATTTTTTTTAGTCTTTTCCGCTGTGTTTTTCAGTGTTTTTGTGAGTGATGGCCTGATAGGTGTATTGTGTCCAAATTTGGTGTCAGTTCGTCCAGTAGTTTTTGAGTTATGTTAATCCCACAAATGAACATTACATTTTTATTTATATAGATGGTTTTCTGTGGGTGAGCAAATGGCGACTACTGGATGGCATATGTTCTGTATCAGAAAGTAGAGCTAATGTTGTCTATCCAATGCAGTTTTCTGAATCAGCACTCCAAATAACCAAACCGAATCTAAAGTTGACCAAAAACTGATTCCTAACCCTTTTGGTACTAATGTTGGAGTGTGGTCCCTGGTCAGAAAAGGTTGATAACCACTGCGCTGAAGGGACCCCGCTGAGCTTAGTCACTGGTCTACTGGATCCACCGGGAGGACAGAAAACTACTTTTTGTTTGGGGAGCAAGGACCTGTAGATAGTCTCCATTTTTAGATTTGTTTCTGGCTGCAAATGGTTAGTAAAAGTTGATAATGCAACAACTCATTAAACCATTGGTGACTTTCTCTGTAGTTGTAACATGTTGCCGTTGTATTTTGACATGGGGTCCCTGTTATGAAACACCCTGTAATCCTTCCCTCCTTTGCAGCTTTGTTCCTACGTACCACACCTCGGATGCTTTTCAGTCCCAGCTTCTTGTGTCTTCTGCGTGGTGCCCCTCGTCTCCTCCATTGCGCTGCCATGAGCACTGTCACTGGTACATTCCAGCTGGAGCATGCCCTCAACTACCGAGATGGCGCCCGAACTGAGCCAGCAGATGGGGACCACATGGAGGAGACCTATGAGCCCGCAACTGGTAGTTATCTCCTGGGGTGATGATGGTCTGGAGGCTTGGAATTCTGGGGGTGTGCTGCACATACATGTAATCAGTTAAACAATAATTTATTTAAACTCAGTAAAACACATCATAACTTAACTCACGCTTAAAAATCTTTCTTTAAAAGGGCCCAGGCAGGTTTGCACCAGGAGATACAATCTTCCAGATAACCTGAGCAGTATAAGGTTTTGGAGGTCATAACCAGCACTTGGAATTGTGCCTAGAAACAGACTGACAGCCAGTAAAGCTGTTGCAACAGGGGAGTTGTGCAATCTCTGTAGCCAACTCCAATTAGCAATCTGGCCACAGATCTTCGGACCAGCTGAAGTTTCCACACACTCTTCAAAGGCAGCCCCACATCCAGACAGTATATAACTAAGGCGTGTACCTCCATGGCCAGGTCTGGAATCTCAAGTAATGAATACAGTTGACACACATATTTTAAATATTTTAAACTGCAGACATCTGGGCCTCCAGGTCCAACACTGAGCAGGTTCAATGCTGAGTGCAATTCAAAAGATTAACTTTAAATTGCAGGCCAGTGTCTTCAGGGGAAGTGTAACCTCATCTAGTCAAGCTGAATCCCTATTCTCCGATCTTCCTTCTGACTGACCAGAAGCACCCCTGTCTTGTCTGGATCAAGTTTTGATTAGTTTTCCCTCATCCAGTCCATTCTTGATGACAGACATTGGTTTTGGACCAAAACAGCTTCCTTGACTTTAGTTGGAAAGGAGTAATAGAGTTGAGTGTCATCTGCATATATAGGACACCGGACTCCAAAACTCTGTGTGACCTTGTTAAACAGCATACCTCTTTGTATGTGAGGTAGTTATGTAATGTGTCTTGCATTTCTTCACAGTTCAGGAAGCAACTCATTTGACTGGAGAGCATAAACTGCAGCCCGAAATTCAGCTTCCAAAGAACTTCATATTATTTTTATTGAATTTCACACTTTCAAACTAACATACATTTATCTTACACTAACAGTAGATAGGATCCAGATCTATTGGTACAATTTAGAGTGATTGGCAATAACTAGGCAAGAATTTCTGATTGGCAGTTGTTTAATAATGAAGTGACTACATCCTTTGCAGCCAAAGGTGGCGGACATCCATCCAGTCGGTGAAAACAAGACCTGGGGCTGACTGTAGCTCAGATCACGAACTTCTTATTGCCAAATTTAGAATAAAACTAAAGAGATCAGGGAAAATACACAGACCAGTTAGATATGATCTCACTAACATTCCTAGCGAATATACAGTGGAAGTGAAGAACAGATTTGAAGGACTAGATTTAGTAAACAGAGTCCCAGAAGAACCATGGACAGAAGTCCGCGACATTGTTCAGGAGGCGGCAACAAAGTACGTTCCAAAGAAAAAGAAAACCAAGAAGGCAAAATGGTTGTCTGCTGAGACACTGGAAGTAGCCCAAGAAAGGAGGAAAGCAAAAGGAAACAGGGATAAGGGGAGATATGCCCAGTTAAATGCGCAATTCCAGAGGTTAGCCAGAAGAGATAAGGAACTATTTTTAAATAAGCAATGCATGGAAGTGGAGGAAGACAACAGAATAGGAAGGACAAGAGACCTCTTCCAGAAAATTAGAAACATTGGAGGTAAATTTCAGGCAAAAATTGGTATGATAAGAAACAAAGATGGCAGGGACCTAACAGAAGCTGAAGAGATCAAGAGAAGGTGGCGAGACTATACAGAAGATCTGTATAGGAAGGATAATAATACTGAGGATAGTTTTGACGGTGTGGTGAATGAATTAGAACCAGACATCCTGAGGAGTGAGGTTGAATGGGCGTTAAGAAGCATTGCTAACAACAAGGCAGCAGGAGATGACGGGATCCCAGCTGAACTGTTTAAAATCTTAAAAGATGATGCTGTCAAGGTGATGCATGCCATTTGCCAGCAAATATGGAAAACACAAGAATGGCCATCAGACTGGAAAAAATCATTATATCCCCATACCAAAAAAGGGAAATGCGAAAGACTGCTCAAACTTCCGTACAGTGGCCCTTATTTCACATGCCAGTATGGTAATGCTCAAGATCCTGCAAGGAAGACTCCAGCAATACATGGAGCGAGAGTTGCCAGATGTTCAAGCTGGGTTTAGAAAAGGTAGAGGATCGAGAGACCAAATTGCCAATATCCGCTGGATAATGGAGAAAGGCAGGGAGTTTCAGAAAAACATCTACTTCTGCTTCATTGACTATTCTAAAGCCTTTGACTGTGTGGATCATAATAAATGTGGCAAGTTCTTGGTGGGATGGGCATCCCAAGCCACCTTGTCTCTCTCCTGAGGAATCTGTACAAGGACCAAGTAGCAACAGTCAGAACTGACCACGGAACAACAGACTGGTTCAAGATTGGGAAAGGCGTACGGCAAGGCTGCTTCCTCTCACCCAACCTTTTTAACTTGTATGCAGAACACATCATACGATGTGCGGGGCTTGATGAATGCCAAGCTGGGGTGAAAATTGCTGGAAGAAACATTAACAACCTCAGATATGCAGATGACACCACTCTTATGGCCGAAAGCGAGGAGGAGCTGAGGAGCCTTCTAATCAAGGTGAAAGAAGAAAGCGCAAAAGCCGGGTTGCAGCTAAACGTCAAAAAAACCAAGATTATGGCAACAAGAATGATTGACAACTGGAAAATAGAGGGAGAAACCGTGGAGGCCGTGACAGACTGTATTTCTAGGTGCAAAGATTACTGCAGATGCAGACTGTAGCCAGGAAATCAGAAGACGCTTACTTCTTGGGAGGAGAGCAATGTCCAGTCTCGATAAAATAGTGAAGAGTAGAGACATCAGACTGGCAACAAAGATCCGCCTAGTCAAAGCCATGGTATTCCCTGTAGTTACCTACGGATGTGAGAGCTGGACCTTAGGGAAGGCTGAGCGAAGGAAGATCGATGCTTTTGAGCTGTGGTGTTGGAGGAAAGTGCTGAGAGTGCCTTGGACTGCGAGAAGATCCAACCAGTCCATCCTCCAGGAAATAAAGCCCGGCTGCTCACTGGAGGGAAAGATACTAGAGACAAAGTTGAAGTACTTTGGCCACATCATGAGGAGACAGGAAAGCCTAGAGAAGACAATTATGCTGGGGAAAGTGGAAGGCAAAAGGAAGAGGGGCCGACCAAGGGCAAGATGGATGGATGGCATCCTTGAAGTGACTGGACTGACCTTGAGGGACCTGGGGGTGGTGAACGGCCGACAGGGAGCTCTGGCGTGGGCTGGTCCATGAGGTCACGAAGAGTCGGAGACGACTGAACGAATGAACAACAAATGTTTTTGCCTCAAGCTCCACAGGTGTGTGTTGCTCTTCTAGTAAGAGACAAAATAGTTCCCACAAATCTGAAGTCTTTTCAAACTTCAACTGTCAGAGGAACTGCAGAATAAGAAACAATGATGTAAACCAGGAATCCTCAAACTAAGGCCCGGGGGTCAGATACGGCCCTCCAAGGGCATTTACCCGGCCCTCGCTCAGGGTCAACCTAAGCACACAACAACAATAATCCTATCTCAACAGCCAAAAGTAGGCCCACACTTCCCACTGAAATACTAATAATTTTATATTTGTTAAAATTGTTCTTCTTTTTATTTATTGTATTGTTTTAATGTGTTTTTACACTATAAATAAGATATATGTAGAGTGCATAGGAATTCATTCGTTTTTTTTCCAAATTATAATCCGGCCCTCCAACAGTTTGAGGGACTGTGACCTGGCCCTCTGTTTAAAAAGTTTGAGGACCTCTGATGTAAACCAATAAAAATCCAAACCAAGGCATACAATTTTTAGACAAGTGATGTAAATGTTCTTAATTTACAAACTGCAGAACGTACTTTTATCTTGATATGTAGTTTGAGCTGTTTTAGCGTGCATAGTTTTAAATATAAAAAGCAAAGCTTTCCCCCTTCACTTCCTTCATTGTGGACCCCCTGGTGCTGCAGCGGGTGAAACCGCTGAGCTGCTGAACTTGCTGACTGAAAGGTTGGCGGTTTGAATCCGGGGAGTGGGGTGAGCTCCTGCTAGTAGACCCAGCTTCAGCCAACCTAGCAGTTTGAAAACATTCAAATGTGAGTGGATCAATAGGTACCCCTTCTGCAGGAAAGTAACGGCGCTCCATACAGTCATGCTGGCCACATTATCTTGGAGGTGTCTATTGACAACACTGGCTCTTCAACTTAGAAATTGAGATGAGCACCACCCCCCAGAGTCGGACATGACTAGACTTAATGTGAGAGGAAACCTCATTCTTTGTAGCTTTCAAAATTAAGAGGTGTGATCATTAGGATAGTAATAAGAACTGAACTTTTTTAAAGCCAGAATTCATGTGGGCTTTCTTATATATAGTCTTCGTAGCAGAGAGATTTTTAGTAAATCATATGATATCTAAATGTATTTATTCTTTTCCAGGCAGAGTTATTGGCAAGTTTCGCTTCTCGGGAGAGAAGGAGGTAGATCTGGCTGTGCAGAGTGCACAGGCTGCCTTTAAAATATGGAGCCAGAAATCAGGCATGGAACGGAGTACTATCCTACTGGAGGCTGCCAGGATTATCCGGGTATGTGGCAATGGAGTGTGAATTGGCCCAGAATTTTCGAAGGTCAAAGATCCCCACAGGGCTGTCACTGTAGCCTGAAGGCCTTTATATGTTTGACTTGGCTTAAAAAGCAAGCTATGTCTTGTGATTATCACCAATATTTCTTTCCACCAACTCATTTATGGTATTCAGAGGACAGGAGGAGACCTTTGTGCAAAGGAGTGAATGTCGGTTGGTGGGGGTGAGTGGGATACAATTTGGTTGGCAGCTAAATACATGGATTCTCAGAAGCAACACGTTAATTACTAACCTAGTACAATATTCAGATAAACTAACATAACCTTTGCTCAGAAGAAGCCTTGAGATGATCTTCCTTTCCTAGTTCTCTCATACTGCTTGGAAATGCCAAAGCTTAGCACATGGTTTGCATACACTGAATTAAATTTACAACATTTCTACTTTTTTCTGAAGCTAAATTATAAGCATCAGAGCACAAGGTTATTTGTCCATCTACTCTGCTGTTTGTTTCCCACTGTGACCAACCAGATTCTGCTGAGAAATCAATGAAGGCCATAGCTGTTGCATCAAAGCATTGTAGTATGCAACACTTTGAACTGGAGGTTTCTTATAAACAACATCTTAGATCCATTTACCACATATTTGTCAAGACCTTCTGTATTATCAATGTATGGCATCTATATAAATAAAAATTTGATGTTCATTTGTGGGATTAACGTAACTCAAAAACCACTGGATGAATTGACACCAAATTTGGACACAATACATCGGTCAGGCCAACGAGTCAGACCATCACTCATAAAAACACTGAAAAACATAGCGGAAGGGACTTAAAAAGCCAAAAAATAAATAATACATTACAATGCATGCGCAAAACCACACACACATATACGCAAACGCACATATATACATATATACACAAATATACATACACACGTATACACACACAAAGCACATATACACACACGGGGCCACAGCAATGCATGGCAGGGGACAGCTAGTATGTAATATATTCTTGTTCCTGCATTCAGTGTTTTTTTAGACAGTTTATAAAATACTGTGGCAGAAGGATCTTTTTTATGGGGTGGATTATACTTTTATCTTTTTACTATGTTCCCATGGGTTCTAACTACTGTAAATTAGTGTTTTAATAGATATATTTAATTTATGTTTGATTTTTTTTAAAACTTACATCGAATAGGCATTCTAGTGTACTTCGTTTTTCACTTGCTATGAGTTGCCTTTGGTCCTGTGATGGGTGAAAAGTAGGATATAATAAAGAAAGAAGCATAAGTCAATTTTCAGTAGTACAATTACAGTTAAACTTCAACTTTTGCTGACTTAGCTCTCACAGGTTTGATTATTCATGAGTTTGCCAACAATATTAAATGGGAGGTTGCAGGGAGCTTTGTTGGCCTACTATAGGAAATGACAGATCATGTGCATAGACTAGAAAATGTAAAGCTTTTTTAAAAAAGTAAATAATGAATGCATAAAAGATATGTACTATTTTTTTGTAATATATGAACACAGACTTTTTTATCCAATGGTGGTAAGAAAAAGTCACTTTTACTAATGGTAAAGGTTTCCTCTTGACATTAAGTCTAGTTGTGTCTGACTCTGGAGATGGTCCTTATCTCCATTTCTAAGCTGAAGAGCTGGCATTGTTCATAAATGCCTCCAAGGTCATGTGGCCAGCATGACTACAATGAGCTCTGTTACCTTTCCGATGGAGTGGTACCTATTGATCTACTCACATTTGCATATTTTTTGAACTGCTAGGTTGGCAGAAACTGGGACTAACAGTGGGAGTTCATCCTGCTCCCTGGATTCGAACCACTGACCTTTCCAGTCAACAAGTTCAGCAGCTCAGCAGTTTAACCCGCTTGCGCCACTGGGGGCTCACTTTTGTTTTCCTTAGTTTTTGCACATTTCAGGACTGAAATGTGCAAAAAAAGAATCTATAAATGACTGAAAAAAATGACTGGCCCAGCTTAGGGCGAATTCCCAACATTTTGATAACCTGAATCTCTAGAGCAGAGGTGTCAAACTTATAGCCCTCCAGATGTTTGGGCTTCCAACTCCCAGAAACCCTAGCCAGCTTGTCCAGTGGCCAAGAATTATGAGAGCTCAAGTCCAAAACACCTGGAAGACTACAAGTTTGATACCAGTGCTCCAGAGAGAATATATACAAACATGTGCCACACATCCTAGGAACGTATTAGCACTCAACCTCATTTTGTGAGCAAAATACAAATCAGGCCGAATCTGTTATGGCTGTTTCCTTCAGCCACATCCATACCAGTCAATTGAATATGTTCTGTGTTGGGATTCCAGGAGCGGAGGGCAGAAATTGCTACAATGGAAACAATAAATAATGGAAAGTCAATCACTGAAGCCCTTGTGGACATTGACGTATCTTGGCAGAGTCTGCAGTACTATGCTGGCCTAGCTGGCTCCATGGCAGGTGGGTGCACTTTTGCTTTTTGTTTGCTTGTTGGTTTTTATAGTTCTGCTGTGCTTGGATCTGCTCTTATTCCCAGCTTGTCTTCCATGGTCGAACACAGAAGTTTAAATGTGGGTAAAATATCTCTTGGTCATGGGAAGAGCTTCAGATGGAGCGTACTTTTGGGTTGAAATGTTACAATCCATGTTTGGGTTGAAATGTTTTCTTTAGATTCTTCTAACACATTTTGTACAGTGGTTCTTGGAGAATTACATGCTTGCTATATGTAAAAGCCACTGCATGATACATTGTATACACTTACAGATATACAATAACCTGATTATCTTTTATGTTGTAAGTTTGCTGTAACTGTAATATTGAAAAGAAATATTTGTCTTTTGAATCACTTTTGTGCTGCAGAAAGAAAGAAAAAAGCATTGGCTTTGGTTCCCTGCAGCCAGAACTTCAAATTAAAAACTCTCCTGCCAACTAGGAATGCCAGTCAGCTCTCTGCAACCTAATAGATGCCGCAGCTATGATTCCACTTTAATTTCCTATGGAATCTTGAATTTTCAGCCAGAGAGTTCTAGTGTCTCACTACGTGACCCAAAATTCTGTAGGATGCATTGATGGCAGTTAAAGTGAAATTACATTACTATAGTTGTGTAGTGCAAAAGAACCCCCACCCCTCTCTATTACAGTGTACTGACATAGGCACTGACTACCATTAGGGATAGTGTCTATTCTGATGCTGGCAGATTGTGCACAGAGGGTTAGCTTTAATTTGAGCCGCCCTGCTCTTCCTCCATCAGAGGGTTCTTATACGTTATAGTTTTTTTGCAGAAATCTGCTTCTTGGTTCTGGTCACTTTAGTAAAGGCTGAAAACTCAGCTTTTATAGGTGGCTATGAATTCCATGCTGGTAAGTACAGGCAGTCCTCTAGTTACAAACATCTGACTTACATTCAACTCCTACTTACAAACATGGTGAGACAACAGGAACTGAAAGGAAATCTACTCCTAGGAAGGAAACTCCACTTCACTAAGAGTTATCATTGAAAAAATGTGTCTCCACTGAAGCTTTTTTGCCAGTGCTTGTTTCCATGGCAAGCCATTTTTTTCAAAATCCAGTTGTCACAGGGACAGAAAGTGAGGTGAAATCTTCTGAACAGGGTCATAAACAGCAAAATAAGCACCAGAGGTGCCTAAACTTTCTGTATATATCTATATCTCTCTATATAAAAATGTAATGTTTGTTTGTGGGAGAAACATAACTCAGAAACCAATGGATGGATTGACATGAAATTTTGACACAATGCACCTAATAGTCCAACGAGTGTCCATCACCCCTGAAAACACACAAAAAACAGCAAAACAGACATTAACCCCTCCGCCCCAAAATAAACCATATATACATACATTCATATACATATACACATGTATGCATACATACACACACACACACATATATGCAAGCACACACAAATATACACACATACATATACACCTACACACATATACGTATACACATACATTCACATATAAACACAGAATAACACAAATATATACACACGCATACACATACACACACACACACACACACACACACGCACATATATATAGGTTTTGCTCACATCAGGCCTAGTTATGTCAGACTCTGGGGGGTAGTGTCATCTCCATTTCTAAGCCGAAGAGCCAGCGTTGTCCATAGACACCGCCAAGGTCGTCTGGCTAGCATGACTACATGGAGTGCTGTTACCTTCCCGCAGAAGCAGTACCTATTGATCTATTCACATTTGCATGTTTTCAAACTGCTAAATTGGCAGAAGCTGGGCCTAACAGCTGGAGCTCACCTCGCTCCCCAAATTCGAACCACCAACCTTTCGGTTAGCAAGTTCAACAACTCAGTGGTTTAACCCGCTGTGCCACCATATTTGCTGGAGTTACACTTTAAATTGTACATGTTCCAACTTATGTACACATACAACAAACATACAGAAACTATCTTATTCGTAACCTGTAGATTGTCTAGAAGTTGCTTGGCAGAAAATGGCTGTTGTACGTACTCCCCACTTCTGCTAGCAGAGTTCTCAGTTTCTGTGCTGAGTATAAAGAATACGAGTCTTTTCTTCCAGAAACACCTCAGGAGTACAATGCGGTGAGGAATTAACCTAGCCTTCCCTGGCAGTCTGCTTAGCAGTAAGCAAATATTGGCCTCAGAATCAACTTGCCATTATGGTGGCATTCTTTATATATCTGATCTATTCAATTCATGCATGCCTTGTCTTCTTTTTACGCTTTAGGTCAGCACGTCCAGCTCTCTCAAGGATCCTTTGGTTATACCAGAAGAGAGCCTCTTGGAGTGTGTGTTGGGATAGGAGCTTGGAACTACCCTTTTCAGATTGCCTGCTGGAAGTCAGCTCCTGCTTTAGCCTGCGGTAAAGGAGATGTTTCTGTTTGAGAAGAGGTTATTCCCCAAAAGTAGTAGCTACAGATTATTGCTATGAAGCCCTTAGTGCCACCATTTTTCACTAAGTATGTGAAAAATGGAGCAAGGAATAAAACCTGAATGTTCTGCTGTGCTTACACTGAGATGTAAAGGGAATTTTTTATTTAAAAAAACATGAGTTCTGGAGGAAAACAGATCAATTAAAGGTTAAATGATTCAGAAAGGAGCAGAAATTGAAAATGTACTAAAGACAGAGCTGAAAAAACACATTATGGAGGGAACAAAACAGCACAATTCAAAGTGCTGGCTTTAGCCTATAAAGCCCTAAACGGTTCTGGCCTAGCTTATCTGTCCGAACGTATCTCTCCTTATGAACCATCTAGGACCTTCAGATCTTCTGGGGAAGAATCTTTTTCACAGATTCGGTTGGCGGAGATGAGAGACAGGGCCTTCTCAGCGGTGTCCCTCCGTTTTGGAACGCCCTCCCTAGGGACATTAGATCAGTCCCCACCCTCTTAACATTTGCAAAAAAGTTAAAACCTGGATTTTTGAGCAAGCTTTCCCAAATGCAGTGTAGCAGACAAACTCTGATCTTCAGAATGACTGGACAATGCGATTGGATAATGATTTTAGTAATGAGACACTGAGGTTCTATACTTTTATTGATTTTATTATTTTATTGAATTTTACTTATGTTAAATGTTTTAATTGTTTTTTTATGCTATTGCGAGCATCGAATTGTGCCATTTGTAAACTGCCCTGAGTCGCCCTTGGGCTGAGAATGGCGGTATATAAATATGGTAAATAAACAAACAAACAAATACAGTAGGCTTGCAATGACTTGTATGCATTTTCCCCTCTCTGGCTGGTTGAGAGTGTGGCTTTTGGCCTTTGTTTATTGATAGCTTTTACTGATCTGCCATGATTGAGGGCCCGTCCACACAGCCATCTAACCCAGAATATCAAGGGAGAAAATAGCACAATATTTGCTTTGAACTGAGTTATCTGAGTCCATACTGCCATATATCCCAGTTCAAAGCAGAAAATGTGGGATTTTATTCAGCTGTGTGGAAGGGACCTGAGCCAGAAGGGGTTTGTTTTACTCTTGAATCCCTCTGTCATTTCCTTTGCAAATGTAGCTATCTCTAGGCAGACATAACACATCTTCTTTCCATTTTTCCTTATCCTTGTGTGTTGGGTTTTCTAGGTAATGCCATGGTTTTCAAGCCTTCGCCCTTCACCCCAGTGTCTGTTCTTTTGCTGGCGGAAATCTACAATGAAGCTGGTGTTCCCAAGGGGCTTTTCAACGTGGTGCAAGGTGGAGCTGCCACAGGCCAGTTTCTAATTCAACACCCAAAGGTCGCCAAGATCTCTTTTACTGGGAGTGTGCCAACAGGCAGCAAGGTACAAGTAGCAATACCGACACTGCTGAACAGTAAATGTTAACATTTATTTGGATTCCCAAGAGATGAATTGCCATTGAGTACCACGTCTTCAATGTGTTGGTTCATCACAGAGCTAGGCTATGCTGGACTAAAGTCATGACTGGTTTTTGTGCCCGTGAAGGGAGATGCCAGTTTGAGAGGATCCAGTGATTAGATTGTGTAAGTGTATGCCTGTGGAAGCTGCTGAGTTTTGGTCCTCCGTTGTTTCAGTGACATCTGTAGTGATAACTACTGAGTGATAACTACTCTTATCACACAACATGTATTCCTTATGAGATGCATGCAAACTAAATAGGAAAACTGTGTTTATGTGAAGCCAATGCATCCTTAGAAATTCCCAGCACATGTCATTTGAATCCTGGCTGATGAATAAAAAGTCTCTTTTGAAAGGAAAGTATTAATGTGGAGTCCTGCTGAAATTGCCTCTTTTTTCTAAATCTGGAGATTCTATGTTAATTAAATTGTCTTGTTGATTTCCCTTGTCTTGTCTTTTTCTTCAATAGATTATGGAGATGGCAGCTAAAGGAGTAAAACCAGTTACTCTGGAGTTAGGGGGCAAGTCCCCCCTCATCATCTTTTCTGACTGTGTCTTTACGAATGCTGTGAAAGGAGCGCTCATGGCCAATTTCCTTTCCCAAGGCGAGGTAGGCAGCTCCTGGGAGAGGAAATGTTTGATAACAGTGCCCTGCTGCCCATATTTTTCAAAACTGGATATATTCCTCTGAACGTTTCTTGGAGTTGGAAGTAGAGTTTCTTTGCAGACACTCATGAAGTTCCTAGAGGATTGCTAGCAGAAAAGTGTGATTTTTTTTCCACCCCAGCCTTTTTTTCCACCCCTGCAGATTTGTTTTAAAGTGCTTTTCAGTAAGTTTTCAGTCGAATCAGTCACAAAAAAGAATGTGTGACCCTCTAGGACAGCTGTTTCCAAACCGTTTTGGTCATAGGTCCCTTCAGAAGACATTTTCCCCCGTGAAACCCAAACTCTGTCCCTACTTCATCTACTCCTATTGCCTGGGTGTTTTGTGTAATGTAGTAAGGTCAGGAAAAAAGAGAAAACTCTTTAAATATTGTGGTAAAATAAAATATTGGATATGACAACAAACATTTATTTTGGTACAGGAAAATATTGGTGATGAATTATTAATTTTTTGTACGTAAAACAGTTTTTATATTGGGCTTTATGTCCAAAAGTTGAATATGTATGTTTGGAACTGCATTCAACTTTCTCCTAAATTTGGTTTTTGTGTTAAGTTTAAGCTAAAGAGTCTGATTCACATCAGTAGCTGGACATGAAAAGGGACACTGCTTAGATAGCTTTCCAGCCATTGGGAGCCATATGTCTATCAGTCCCACCTGATGTTCATGCAGTGGCACGGATCCAAATCTTGCTTTAAAAGAGAGGTACATTGAATTTTAATAAGATCTTCATATGCTGGCACAGACTTTTTAAACAAAATTTTTAAAAGATTTTTGCGGAACCCCTATAATGCTTTTGGAACCCTAGGGTTTTGGAGAAGCACTGCTATAGATGTTGGACTGACCTCCCTTTAATTCTAGTTGATGGTTTGAGATGGAGAGAATTGGAGCATGTTAATTTCTGGAAGTCCAGTAGTTTTTTAAAAAAAATTTGATTTAGCTTTCAGCAATTTATTTATTTATTTATTTACGACATTTATATGTCACTCTCCTCACCCCGAAGGAGACTCAGAGTGGCTTACAAGATAGATAGATAGATAGATAGATAGATAGATAGATATAAACATACAATATATTATATTATTAGCATAGTACAATATCAGTATTATATATAGTATTGTACTATACCATTCTATTGTAATATTATTAGTAATATTACATGTAATATAAAATATATAATTATAATATCATCTTATTAGTAGTATTATATTGTATTATATTATAATATTATAAATATTATATGTATATACAATATGTTATATTACATTATATTATATTATCTAATAATAATAGTAATAATAATAATAATAATAATAATAATAATAATAATCTTTATTTATACCCCATCTCCCTGAATGGGCTTGGGCATCTTACAGCAATATTTCATTATGCATAGGAAGAGGATTTGGGAGATTTTCAGTCATTGGCCCTCTGCCCTGTTTCACATTGTGGTCTACTATAGCAATAGCAATATTTCCCCAGAAGCCCGCTTTCTTTGCTCTTCAAGAAATCATTTCCCTTTCCTCATTGAACCCTTGGGTGAGGGAGACAGGTCAGTCAGCTATTATTCTTTTCAACTGTGATCCCTTTTCTCAGATGATGCTCCAGGGCTGATCTTATCTTGTAAACGTTTGATTGCCATCTAAAAAATTTGCACTATGTCGGAATTTGCTCACACCTGATTCTCTGCCTCAGGTTTGCTGTAACGGTACTCGAGTATTTGTACAGCGTGAAATCCTGGATGCTTTCACCAACGAAGTTGTGAAAGAAACCCAGAACATCAAAATTGGTGACCCTCTCCTGGAAGACACAAGGATGGGAGCCCTTATCAACCGGCCCCACCTGGAGAAGGTGTTGAGTTTTGTGAAACAAGCAAAGGACCAGGTGAGTTTTGGGGGATAGAGGGGAGAGGTGAGGTAGAGGTGAACCCTTCCAGAACAAGTTAGAGAAAGCATCACACAGGCACTGTATTTTTGGTACAAAAAATAGGGGCTCTATGTGGCAAAACTGTTTGGAAGGAAACAGAGTGATCCAGAGCTTAGGTTCATTGGTGGAAATTCAGTTACTCTATTGCTTCTATATTGGTAGTTTTAGATCTTACTAGAAGGATATCCCACCATAACCTGACTTCGTTACCGGCTTTTTAGGGGTTACAGGCTGCAGATAAGAGAAATGCTCAAGGGTTTGACATTTTATTTGTTCACATTTAAGGAATTTTACTTGGCTGCATTTTGACATGGGCATTCTGCCACGCATTGCAGTTTTTGCTTGCATAATGCTTAGAATTGCTATTTTCAAGAGTGAAAAATGTTGTGTATTGCAAAAGAGCAATGTGAAGGCCAAGCTAAAATCAGTTCCCAATCAGGAGCCTAATTAGGGAGGAAACCAGATCTTTGCACTGGGCTCAAATTGTAACCTGCCCAGGAGTAGGAATTCAAAAAACAAAAAACTGGATAAACTGGTTGTAAAAATTTTCGATACATGAAATCTCATGAGCATTCACAGTGAATACAGGAAAGTAGGATTCTTTGGTGATATGCTGACAGGAGCATGCTTATCTGGCTCCAAACATCTGTCATCCCATGAGTTAGCCTATCCGTTGTCATTCATATTGTACTAATGGTCTGGTGCTATCCAGTCATTATATTCTGCTATGGTCATCCCACTTTTGGTCCATTTATTGCCTGGGCTGAATCTGTCTAGTGGAAAGCTTTAAACTGGTTATGTGCCTGTGAACTATCCTGATATGGCTATGTAAGTCTACCTTTTGTTGTGTTGCATTTTTCAGGGTGCACAGGTACTGTGTGGTGGGGACCCATATGTACCAGAAGATCCCATGCTTGCTGGTGGCTTTTACATGACTCCTTGCGTGTTAGGTATGGATACTTTATTGACTTCTGGCTCTCAAAGCTTTTGTTAGTCCAGATTGAAGGGAGGGTATAATGTATTGCTTCAATTCTAAGGCATGCTTTTTTCTTATATAAACATATCTAAAATGGGGTGTGCCTTAGAATCACTGGCATATTTTTGGTGGTGGTACTAAAATTAGGGTGCCTCTTGCAATTAGTATTATGCTCGCATTGGTATGGATTTTGGTGATGAGTCAATGTCATTTTTAGTTAAAAAAACTGACTTTTGTATAATTTTTTTCTAGAGATGCAAAGAACAAAATGACATGTTCAAAAGAAACATTTGGGCAGATTGCATTGTATGACCGAATACTCTCTTATATACAAAAGCTCCTTCTGCATAGAAGGGCAAACGTATTGGAGCTATATCCATTCTCTTGACATTTGTGTTTCCTCTATGGATATTTGGAAGCATAAAGAATATTGGTGATAGTTGAGCGTTTGGAGTGTGACCAGTGAGAGCAAGATTTTTTTTAAATAATATAATTAAATTTGCCATAGGCCCCATTATTTGAAATTTCATTTTGAAAAAAAAACCACATTTCATTTGTTAATTTATTTATTAATACCTAGACCATTGGTCATTCTCAGTCACATAAATAAATACAATATGTAAAAAGGTTATGATATAAAACAATATAAAGTTACTATCTAAAACAATAGGCATATAGGTCTTGCCATGTAAAATTCAATACGGTTAAGATACAATATAATGTCAATCATAACATTCTTTAGCCAATCAACTGTGATATCAATAATAAGTTTGCTGACTAAAACAATATAAAGTTACTGTCTAAAACAATAGGCATATAGGTCTTGCCACCTAAAATTCAATACTGTTAAGATACAGTATAATATCAATGATAACATTATTTAGCCAGTCAACTGTAATGTCAGTAATAAGTTTACCCTGAATTTTCAGCACTGACAAGGCAAAAGAGAAATCTTGCCATATAATTGGTATCACGCAGGAGATAGATTTTTTTTCTGACACCTTATTATGACATAGGTTAGACCAGGGGTCCTCAAACTAAGACCCAAGGGCTGGATACGGCCCTCCAAGGTAATTTACCCGGCCCTCGCTCAGGGTCAACCTAAGTCTGAAACGACTTGAAAGCACACAACAACAACAACAACAACAACAACAACAACAACAATCCTATCTCATCAGCCAAAAGCAGGCCCACAATTCCCATTGAAATATTAATAAGGTTGTTTTTGTTAAAATTGTTCTTCATTTTAATTATTGTGTTGTTTTTAAGTGTTTTTGCACTACAAATAAGATATGTGCAGTGTGCATAGGAATTCATTCATGCTTTTTGCAAATGATAATCTGGCCCTCCAAGCGTTTGAGGGGCTATTACCTGGCCCTCAGTTTAAAAAGTTTGAGGATCCCTGGGTTAGACAGAATAGATCCCAAAATTATAACTGATCTATGATCTAGACATTAATAAACAAAACAAGTTCTTTAAGATCAACTAGGACTTCTTTACCTGTAAGCATGCATATGTTTTTGTTACTTCACTGGTTTGCTTCAACCCAAAGCCGCCATCAGGCCTATTATGCAGCTAGTTCTAAAATCTCACTTTCTTATGTGCAGGATAGCTATAATTGAAGTGGATTATCTGTGTGTTTAGAATAGCTGGATGTTTAACTATCAATTTCTTTGTTGATCCTAGGCAACTGCAAAGACAGCATGACATGTGTAAAAGAAGAGATTTTTGGCCCTGTCATGTCCATCCTGCCCTTCGACACAGAAGAAGAAGTTCTGGAGAGAGCCAACAACACTCGTTTTGGCCTTGCAGCAGGGGTCTTTACCAGGTAAAACTGATAAAAGGGAATAAGGTTTAATCAGGGTGAGAGACTAATGGATGATAACTGGTTCATGGTCCCTGTAGGACATTGCCTTCAGTGAGCTTCGTTCTCACTCATATGTTTTTTGCTCCCCAAGTGCATTGTTTATACACTCCTGGGCTGCTCCACAGAGCAAATTATCTGAAGAATTTGACCATTGCCAAATATGGCTGCCTTTTCTCCAAGGCAAGATGTCATGTGTTCCCTCTGAAATGCTTTGAGGCAGATTTGCAGGTGTTCCATATAATGCCAGACTTTGCCCATGCAATAACCAGGAAGTTGAATATATGAAACCCATCTTATTGTCCTGTGGTCTTTATAAGCAGGCTCGACAACATATTATTAACGCATTACTGAGCAACTTGCCTGGTAGATCAGCTCAATTCTATGTGAAGTTTTTGTAAGGAGATAATCTTACCCCATGTGACTCTGGCCATTGCCAAGTTTCTTCTGAGGTAACCAGGATAAAACAACTTCTAGTATTAGATTCAGATTGAAACTTGCCTTTGTATTTATTTGCAGGGTTCTTGTTCTTGTTTATATGTACTTTATCTAATATGTTGTCCTGCATTTCAGTCTGTACGCACTTTGTGTGTCTTTGACTGTTGAGCTATTTGGGTCTTTGGACTTTATTTATTTACGCTATTTCTATCCTGCCTTTTTCAAAAGTCGCCTTGAGTTACCCAGAGGTGACTCAAGGCGACTTACAACCAGCAGCCATTTGCTGTCGTAACAATCTACAGCAGTGTTTCCCAACCTTCCTAATATCGTGACCCCTTAATACAGTTCCTCATGTTATGGTGACCCCCAACCATAAAATTATTTTCGTTGTTACTTCAGAACTGTAATTTTTATACTGTTATGAATCATAATGTAAATATCTGATATGTATTATCTATTTTCATTCACTGGACCAAATTTGACACAAATACCCGATACACACAAACTTGCGTAATGGTGGGGTTGGGGGGAGATTGATTTTGTCATTAGGGAGTTGTAATTGCTGGGATTTAAAGTTCACCTACAATCAAAGAGCATTCTGAATTCCACCAACTATAGAATTGAAACAAACTTGTTGCATTAGCTGGAAATCCTGCATCCAGCAGCAAGTTGGATTTGATAGCTAATGAACTCCTTTCTAATGCTATGATTGTATGATTGTCAATTTTAAAATATCCATTGTAAAACTGACCTTGAGTTTTGGAGTTGTAGTTCACCTATATCCAGAGAGCACTGTGGACTCAAACAATGATGGATCATGACCAACTTGGCACAAATATTCCATATGCCCAAATGTGAACACTGGTGGAGTTTGGGGGGAAAATAGACCTTGACATTTGGGAGTTGTAGTTGCTGGGATGTATAGTTCACCTACAATCAAAGAGCATTCTGAACCCCAACAATGACATAATTGGGCCAAACTTTCCACACTGAAACCCCATGACCACTAGAAAATACTTTGTTTTCTGATGGTCTTTGGCGACCCCTCTGTCACCCCCTCGCAACCCCTCCAGGGGTCCCGACCCTCGGGTTCAGAAACACTGATCTACAGTGTATAATTTAAGCATTTAAAAACGGGATTATAAAATCATACAATAAAACCATATAAAACCAATGCCTTCACTGTTTAGCTTGTTTTCCCAAAAACATTGTCTAAGCTGTTCCACAATTCAGTTCCACAGAGATCCATATTGGTCTATTGCACTGCCTTTCAAAAGGCTTGTTCAAAAAGCTAGGTTTTTACATTCCTACAGAAAGTCAGGAGGAAGGGGGGCTGATCTAATATTCCTAGGGAGGGAGTTCCACAGCCAAGGGGTCACCACTGAGACGGCCCTGTCTCTCGTCCCTGCCAGGCGTGCCCATAAAGAAGGTGGGACTGAGAGCAGGGCCTTCCCAACCAACCTTAAGCTCCTAGAAGGTTCATAAGGAGAGATATGTTCAGACAGGTAAGCTGGGCCGGAACCGTTTAAAAGCTGTACTAAAGCTTTTGAAATAATGTCTTTACATGGTGTCAAATGTGCCTATCAGTGTTTGGATTATTTTACCATGGCTCATCGGAAATGGAATTCAGGGAACACCACCTGAATTCTGTGCTGGGCAGAAAGTGCATTACTCAGCCTTGTTCTTCTACTTCACAGGGACATCCAGAGGGCCCACAGAGTAGTTGCTGGTCTCCAGGCTGGGATGTGTTTCATCAATAATTACAATATTAGCCCTGTGGAACTTCCCTTTGGAGGATACAAGATGTCAGGTGACCCACTTGATTGATTGCTGCAATATTTCTATGAGAATTGGACAATGAGTATATATATTAATCAAGCTAGAGTTGTGGATTAGGAGAGCTGCAGAAGTCTGTATCCATAGTGGAAATTGCTTTGACACAAAATTCCAGATGCAGTTTGCTTTGATTTTTCTTGCAAAATGGGTCTAGTCTGCAAGGGGCAATACAGACTCCCAGAGGCAGAGAGTTGTCTTATGGGATGTATACAAATAGATAAGTTGACCAGTGATACTGTTGTGGAAGTGCACTATTTATTTTATTAATATACAGAATATTTATTTATTTATTTATTTATATTCCGCCCTTCTCACCCCGCAGGGGAATCAGGGCGGATTACAGTGTACACATACATGGCAAACATTCAATGCCATAGGCACACAACACATATAGACTAGACAGTCAGAGGCTGTATTTAACATTCCAATTTTCTGGCCACCAGGGCAGATGTTGCTTTACCGTCCATCTGTGACACTGATGAAGTACTTTCCGCATTCCCCGCATGCTTTTCCTGGAGATTTTTTATGGCCTCGTAAATTTGTTAAATTAGCCTCCCCACACATAGGTGGTAGTCTTTCGGGTTGCAAAGGTCAACAACAAGCTACACAAATTGGCCGGAAGCTCACTCTGACCCGGGCTGGCTTCGAACGCATGACCTTTTGGTCAGTAGTGACCTTAATGCAGCTGACACCCACAGTCCCAGTGCTTCAACTTACAGAGGGTTAAATGAGGATGGGGATATGAACACGTACAGGTACTTAAGTATCCATGTGTCATCTCCTATCCTTAAGCAATTGCTGAAGAGGGTGATGCAACCTTTTGGGGCTGAATGCAGTGTCAAGGTTCTCATGAACAGAAACTAGGCAGGGTTTTTTTTGTGTCAGGAGCGACTTGAACAAACTGCAAGTTGCTTCTGGTGTGAGAGAATTGGCTGTCTGCAAGGACGTTGCCCGGATGTTTGATGTTTTACTATTCTTGTGGGAAGCTTCTCTCATGTCCCCACATGGGAAGCTGGAGCTGACAGAGGGAGCTCATCCATGCTCTCCCCGAATTCAAATCACTGACCTGTCAGTCAGCAGTCCTGCCAGCACAAGGGTTTAACCCAGGGGTCCACAAACTTTTTAAACAGAGGGCCAGGTCACAGTCCCTCAAACTGTTGGAGGGCCAGATTATAATTTGAAAAAAACATGAATGAATTCCTTTGCACGCTGCACATATCTTATTTGTAGTGTAAAAACTACTTTAAAACAATACAATAATTAAAATGAGGAACAATCTTAACAAATATAAACTTATTAGTATTTCAATGGGAAATGTGGGCCTGCTTTTGGCTGATGAGATAGGATTGTTGTTGTTGTTGTGTGCTTTCAAGTCGTTTCAGACTTAGGTTGACCCTGAGCGAGGCTGAGGCCCCCGGGCCTTAGTTTGAGGAACCCTGGTTTAACCCATTGCACCACCAGGGACTACTAGGCAGGTTGAATTGCTACTTATGGGAGCTCTTTATATACATTCAGCTAAAAAGAAAGCTGATATGCTCAATATTTAGTATGAAGCTCTAATTTGCACCTCCGTGCTTAGAGAGATTTTTTGGGGACAACATATGTGTGCACTCTCATTCCCACCCCCCACCCCCTGTTTTTGCTTTAAACATGTTCAGGAAGGCACTCTGAACGAGACTAATGTTCAATGTATTGTCGAAGGCTTTCATGGCTGGAATCACTAGGTTCCTGCAGGCAAAACGTCAGGAGAAAATGCCTCTAGAACATTGCCATATAGCCCGAAAAAACCCACAAGAACCTAGAGACTAATGTTCCCTGTAGAATTAAGTACAGATGAAGATCATTCATCCAGTTGGTGGCAGCAAATAGCTGTGCACTTTATTACTTTGAATACCAGTTATGTCAGAATTCAATCTTTTTCCACTCCCTTCCCAAACTGGATTTTTAAAAAGCCAGTCAATTTAAAACAAACAATGCCTTAAGATTGCAGTTCTGCATTAACTGAAGTGAGCACTTTTGAAGTCAGTAAGCCATAGTTCAGACTAAACATGCATAGCATTGTGTTGTTTATTTATTTATTTATTTATTTATCTCCTATATTTATACCCCCCCCTTCTCCCCCCCCCTTGAACGGGGACTCAGGGCGGCCTAACAAAAGCATCATACGATGCTAGCATCATAAAAACAACCACAGTACAATCAAAGTATTTAAAATTAAAACAACAATTGAAACAAATAATTAAGACACATCCATTAAAATCGCAATCCAAAAACCAGTCCGGGTCAATTCATTGCCATAAGTTGTGTGATCTTCTTCCACTTGCTGCTCACTGATCAAATGCTTGGTCCCATAACCAGGTCTTGATTTTCCTTCTAAAAGACAAGAGGGAGGTGGCCAATCTGATATCTCTAGGGAGGGCATTCCATAGGCGAGGGGCCACTTCTGAGAAGGCCCTGTCTCTCGTCCCCATCAACCGTATTTGCGATAGTTGTGGGATCGAGAGCAGGGCCTCTCCTGAAGATCTTAAACTTCGTGTTGGTTCATGGCAGGAGATACGTTTGGACAGATAGTCTGGGCCAGAACCGTTTAGGGCAGTGGTTCTCAACCTGGGGTCCCCAGATGTTTTTGGCCTTCAACTCCTAGAAATCCTAACAGCTGGTAAACTGGCTGGGATTTCTGGGAGTTGTAGGCCAAAACACCTGGGGACCCACAGGTTGAGAACCACTGGTTTAGGGCTTTAAAGGTTAAAACCAGCACTTTGAATTATGCTCGGAAGCTGATCGGTATCCAGCTTCCGAGTTATCAATGAATCTGTAGTGGATAAATGGCATTTGAAACAATGAACAAACCAGACACCCACCCAAAGGGTTTCAAAACTGGACACTGAAATGGTGTTTGATGTGGAAGTTACCTTATATACTCGAGTATAAGCTGACCCGAATATAACCCTAATTTTAGCACAAAAAACTGAGAAAACGGATTGACTCAAGTATAAGCCGAGGGTGGGAAATGCAGCCGCTACGGGTAAATTGCAAAATAAAAATAGATACCAATTAAATTACATTAATTGAGGAATCGGTAGGTTATATATTTTTAAATATTTACAGAAATGGTAATTTAAGATAAGACTGTCCAACTCCGATTAAATGATTATTTACCTTCTTCAATGTGAATGTGCTTACGTATCCTTCCAATAATAATAGAGTAACATAATAAATGTAATAACAACAATAATAAAAAGAGTAAAATAATGAATGTAGCAATAACAACAATTATACAGTAAAATAATAAATGTATAATAATAGAGTAAAATTATAAATGCAATAATAATAAATAGAATAAAATAATAAATGAAATAATAATAATAATAATAATAATAACAACAACAACAACAGAGTAAAACAATAAATAACCTTGACTCGAGTATAAGCCGAGGGGAACTTTTTCAGCCTAAAAAAAGGCTGAAAAACTAGGCTTATACTCGAATATATATAGTAAATAATCTACCTGTGCCACACTTGCTACCTTTTAGGTTCATCTGGTCAAGTCTTTGAAGAAGTTAATTTCCATTCACCAGTGAACTGTTTTTGTCTTTTACTTTGTATCAGTTACATTTTAAGAAGGTTTTCTTTTACAAATATAAAGGCTATAGAACGTTCAAAAAGGGGAAAAAAGATATTTAAAAGTGAAACATTTATGTCGCATTCAGTGTTAGTTGTCACGTGGTCCACTCTGTCATGCGAGCCCTGCCCCAAGCTTTCAGTCTTGCTGTAAGTGTCCCATACTAAGTATTTTTCTTTTGTAGGATTTGGCCGAGAGAATGGGGAAGCGGCGATTGAATATTATTCCCAACTGAAGACTGTCTGCGTGGAGATGGGCAATGTGGAATCAGTGTTTTAGTGATACTCTGGTTCAGTCAACTGCTTCCAGCTAGCAATCAAGTGAAGTGCCATATACTGTGGAAATGACCTGGAGTGTGTGACAATATTACTGTCTACCTCCATTTTGAATTTTGTTATATCACTCTGCTCTTTTCTCTTGAACTTACTATGCAGAAAGGCAAAATATCCAATTGCTAGACAGCAAATGTTCCTCCTGGTCTCTGTTTCTGCTTGTCATCTTAATACCTTGAAGTTGTAGGCAATAAGTGAGTGTATGTCACAAAAATGATTGTATCTATGCTGCTTTTTCTAGATGAGCACTTTTAAAAGCAAATAAAAATCCCGGAATTATCACTTGTATAAAATGTTGCATGATGAATATTTTTTTAACAATTCTTTATTGTTTCAACTTTACAATATCTTGCTTACACTTAGTTTCCATTGGTGCTCATATTTATACACACTTCCTTTCCATGTATCATTGCTTTTATCTGCACCCTCTTTTTTTATACTCTTCCTTCTCTTAAAAAAGGGGGAAAGGGGAAAAAGAAAAATAGGGGGGGGGGGAGAGAAGATAGGTGACCTTTGGTCTATCCTGATCTACCCACAAAGAAAGCTGATATCATATGCTTCACCCTCTAGACCAGCGTTTCTCAACCTGGGGGTCGGGACCCCTGAGGGGGTCACTGAAGACCATCACAAAACACAGTATTTTCTGTTGGTCAAGGGGGTTCCGTGTGTCAAGTTTGGCCCAATTCTATTGTTGGTGAAGTTCAGAAAACTCTTTGATTGTACGCGAACTATAAATCCCAGTAATTACAAATCCCAAAGGTCAATGTCTGTTTTCCCCAAACTCCACCAGTGTTCACATTTCAGCATATGGAGTATTCGTGCCAAGTTTGGTCCGGATCCACCATTGTTTGAGTCCATAGTGCTCTCTGGATGTAGGTGAACTACAACTCCCAAACTCAAGGTCAATGCCCACCAAACCCTACCAGTATTTTCTCTTGTTCATGGGAGTTATGTGTGCCAAATTTAGTTCAATTCCATTATTAGTGTAATTCAGGATGTTCTTTAATTGTAGCTGAACTATAAATCCCAGAAACTACAACTCCCAGCAGTATTCAGATTTTGGTGTATTGGGTATTTGTGCCCAGATTGATCCAGTGAATGAAAATACATATCAGATATTTACATTATGATTCATAACAATAGCAAAATTACAGCTATGAAGTAGCAACTAAAGTAATTTTATGGTTGGGGGTCACCACCACATGAGAAACTGTATTAAGGGCCCGTAGCATTGGAAAGGTTGAGAACCACTGCTCTAGATCTCTCTTCACTAACTCTTTTCTCATATTATAACATCAACAAAAAATTAATTTGTTCTTCAAAACTCAAAATTGTCAAGCCCTTCTCTTCATGCAAAAAGTGAAAAAAAAAAGGTTTCCAGTCTTTTAAAAAAAGGCCAATGTCTTGTTGAAGGCTTTCATGGCCGGAATCACTGGGCTGTTGTAGGTTTTTCGGGCTATATGGCCATGTTCTAGAAGCATTCTCTCCTGACGTTTCACCTGTATCTACGACAAGCATCCTCAGAGGTTGTGAGACTTCACAACCTCTGAGGATGCTTGCCATAGATGGAGGTGAAACATCAGGAGAGAATGCTTCTAGAACATGGCCATATAGCCCAAAAAACCTACAACAAACCAATGTCAATGTCCCTTCTTTTAGTAATGTTAATTTGTCAATTTCAGCCATGTCCATCATTTTTATTATCCATTCCTCCATTATTGGTATTGTTGTACTCTTCCATTTCTGTGTGTAAAGTAGTCTGGCTGATGTGGTCCTATGTTGCCATAGTCTATCCTGGTTATTTTTTTTTATCATTCAGGCCAAGTAGAAAAGTCTCTGGTTTTAGCTGGATCCTTTCCCCTCAATTTTTTTGTATCACTGTGTGTATTTGAATCCGATATTTCTTGGCATGTTTACATGTCCACCACATATGATAGAAGGACCCCACTTATTGTTTACATTTCCAGCAAATATTGGAGCTCTTTTTATATATCTTAGAGAGCTTTTCAGGTATCCTATACCACCGGTACATCATATTATAGACATTTTCTTTCAAGTTATAACGTGAATTGTAACCCTTTATTCCAAATTTTTCCCATTGTTCCAACGTTATATTGTGCCCCACATTTTGTGCCCACTTTATCAAAAATTTTGCATGATGAATATGAGCATCCAATGAAATTAACTGAGCAAACAGCGAGGCACAAAAAGACCCCAATATGTCAGGTGGGTGGTACTTTAAAGAAGGACGGGACTCTTCAAAATGCTCAGATTTTTCTGGCACACTTTATTTTATCCTATCAGAATTTTGTTGAGGATGGTTATATGTACATTTTGCTCTCCTCATGCAGTTTGAAAAATCAACAGCATAGAATGAATCTCAGGTGCTTTTGTGTAGGGAAAGTGGTACAGAAGCCAAAACATAATGTACCCAGAACCAGAGTAGGAGACAGAGGTTCATCTGAGCTCAGAAACACAGAAATGCCATAAGCACACTGAGGAAGATCAGAAATATCTGAACATAAATGTGTGACAGAGTTTTTCCCCAATGGGAGATTATTTAGTCACCCCTACAAAGCACAAAAAACATCAGTTTCTCACATGGCAAATGCTCACTCTTCTCCGGCAATCTGTTGGGTCCTGTCCCTCCCTTGCTAAGGATCTCCAGTCAGTCCATCGCCAGGAGGGAGCTGTCCAGCCTCTTTGTTGAAAGAGTGCAGAGAAGGAGACTCCACCACTCCTCCTAAGCAATTGGTTCCATTATTAAGCTGCTCTTGACTGTCAAGAAGCTCCTTATGATCATAGGATCTTAGAGTTGGAAGAAACTACAAGGACCATCCTGTCCAACTCCATTCTGCCCTGCAAGAAAAGGACAATCAAAGCACATCCAACAGATGGTCACCCAGCCTCTGCTTAAAAACCTCAAAAGAAGGAACTTCCATCATGGCCATATAGCCTGAAAAAACCTACAACAACCCATATTGACAAGCTGGAATGTGTCCAGAGGAGAGCGACTAAAATGATAAAAGGTCTGGAGAACAAGCCCTATGAGGAGCGGCTTAAGGAGCTGGGCATGTTTAGCCTGAAGAAGAGAAGGCTGAGAGGGGATATGATAGCCATGTATAAATATGTGAGAGGAAGCCACAGGGAGGATGGAGCAAGCTTGTTTTCTGCTTCCTTGGAGATTAGGATGCAGAACAATGGCTTCAAACTACAAGAGAGGAGATTCCATCTGAACATGAGGAAGAACTTCCTGACTGTGAGAGCCGTTCAGTAGTGGAACTCTCTGCCCCGGAGTGTGATGGAGGCTCCTTCTTTGGAAGCTTTTAAACAGAGGCTGGATGGCCATCCATCAGGGGTGATTTGAATGCAATATTCCTGCTTCTTGGCAGGGGGGTTGGACTGGATGGCCCATGAGGTCTCTTCCAACTCTTTGATTCTATGATTCTATGAGTGATTCCGGCCATGAAAGCCTTTGATAATACAACTTCCATCATATTCCAAGGCAGAGAATTCCACTGTTAAATAGCTCTTATGGTCAATAGGTTCTTCCTAATGTTCAGGTGAAACAAGTCCTAGTCTCCAGATCCACAACCAAGCCTGTTCCCTCTTCTTTTTTTACAGCCTTTCAAATATTTAAACATGGTTCTCATGTCTCCTCTCAACCTTCCCTTCCTTAGGCTAAACATGTCCAATTCTTTAAGCCGCTCCTCATAGAAACTCGTGGTTTCCAGACATTTGATAATTTCAGTCGTTGTCCTCTGGGCACATTTCAGTGTTCAATAAAAACTGTCCTAGACCACTTCAGTTATTACATTGTGGCAGAATCAAAACTTGTCCCATTATTCACTCTTGCCTTAATTCCTCCTCATCAAATAACCAAAATAAAACATGAAAATTGATACACTGTACAATTCAATTTCAGAATGAATCTATACACTTGAGGTTAGAAAACCAATATAACATATGGTACCTTGTAGGCAAGAGGAGACAAATCCCTTCCTCAGCTCAAGCATCATTCTTAGATCTAGAGATCTAAGAAATGTGTTACAAAACAATTTCTTTTCTTCCACCACTTCTCTAATCAGATGAATTGAAATAACAGGTGAGAGGTGTTCAATCAATTTCTTTTCTCTGAATTGGAGGAGATGGTCCTGCTGTATTCTCATCTTCCTTGCTCCAAACCCAGACTGATTCTCCAACCATAGAGACATCCAGGCAGACATTTATAAAGGCAGGAAAGTTAAATAGAGATATCATAACAGTAATCAGTGGCTGAAAAAATCAGTTGACTGAATGGTTCAGTCAACCAGGCTGGAAAAGTTATCTAAAATATCTGAGTGAAGAACAGCTAGGGACATCTATAATTTTTTTGAAAGCGAAGTCTTGCTGATTCTGAACCATTCTATACTTTCTTTAGTCAGCCTAGCTAACTGAACAAGATAATTTTAAAAGTATAATTTAGACAGGACATTTTATCTATCTATATAAAAATGCTCTGTGCATAATGAGTACCTTAAAAACAAAAGAACCAATGAACGAAATCACACCAAAGTTGGCAACAAAATGTCTCACAACACAAGGAGTGACCATCACTCAAAAAAATATGATTTTGTCATTTGGGAGTTGTAGTTGCTGGGATTTATAATTCACCTATAATCAAAGAGCATTCTGAACTCCACCAACGATGGAATTGAACAAACGTAGCACACAGGACTCCCCTGACCAACAGAAAACACTAGAAGGGTATGGTGTGCATTGACCTTGAGTTTTGGAATTGTAGTTCACCTACATCTAGAGAGCACTGTGGACTCAAACAATGATGGATCTGGACCAAACTTGCCACGAATACTCAATATGTCCAAATATAAACACAGATGGAGTTTGGGGTAAATAGACCTTGACATTTGGGAGTGTAGTTACTAGGATGTATAGTTCACCTACACTCAAAGAGCACTCTGATCCCCAACAACGATGGAATTAGGCCAAACATCCCACACAGAACCCCCATGACCAACAGAACATACTGTGTTTTCTGGTGGTCTTTGGTGATCCTTCTGACACCCTCCTTGGTGACCCCCCCCCCCTGGTTTTGACTTCCCAGGTTGAGAAATACTGCCTTAAGGCCATCCAGTCCAACTCCCTTCACCAGGGCAAGAAAACATAATCAAAGCCCTCCTGACAAAGGGCCATCAAGCCACACACACATATATATGACAGATGCAGTATCAAAGATTTGAAAGGGACCCCTTAAAAAGGACAATTATATGTTGCCTTTCCAGAGTAGGCAGAA